TCATGGTACATTACAATATTTGAGACCCTGCTTCTCTGAGTTGCCAATCTACACGAGGGTTTTTTTGGCACTGTTGGGTGGGGAGGAATCTCGGCTTTCAAAAAAATATTTACTGTTCTGAGGAAATAGAATCTGTTTCGCAGATTTCTGTGATTTTCCAGTCAAAAAAAAAATACCCAATCGAAATATGCATCACAACATTCGAGAATGTTGAAGAAAGACGGAATATGTTTATGCAGAATTGAAGTGTGCATCAGACATGAATGAATGCGCTATGCGCATCGATCCGCGGCATTTCTTGTGAACATTTGATGCGAACTGGAAACGTTTTCAGATGGAGACGTTTGCAACATTCTAATTCTGTGTCCGTCAACAATCGTTCAATCTATTGTGAATGCGCATTGCTTCATGACATTGCTTTCTTCGGTGGCCTGACTTCTTAAGAAGGTTCGCCAAGTGAGAACGGCTTCTGATCGAGAACTCAATTATCTACAAATTATCTAATGGCGCATGTTGGTTTTCGTTTCATTTTTTGAAATCTGCTCTTACGTCCATCACTTGATATCCAAAGCATCCTTCCTGTAACAGTATACCAGCCGGAGCCTCTCACGCCTTTCAAAATTCTTATATATTGGTCAGTCACTAAGGTTTGATAAAATCCACTCTAAAACAGTGAAGTATTCTCGGTGTCTGATGATATATTCACAGTGCTAGTAGCACATACTTTTATTCCATGCGAGATTAGAGCGCAGACATATTGGCATCTTGAGTGGCATATGGCCGACCTACCAACAAAAACTACTGAAGCTATAACCATTGAATTGAATTGAAAAATTCAATTTTCGATTACATTCAGTTCAAAATTTCACTTCTGATCATGTGGGGAGGTGTGTCATAGATGAATGATAAAATGATATTCGTTTGCAGATGACAGCAAGTGCTGAACAGTCATCGTCGTCACTGAATTATAATACTAGTACTAATAATAATCATTATAACAGTAATAATAATGCTAATAATAATAATGTGAAACGAAAGCAAATAAATGAAAAAGCATTCGACAATGACAACTCATTGATAATGAAGATGTCGGTTGAGCAGTGGTCTTATAATGATGTTGCTAAGTGGTTAACATCGATTGGCTTTGAGCATTACGCTAATTGGATCGCATTTGAGCATAAGGTTTCTTTTATTATTATCGTTGCATCTGTTAATGTCCTTATTATTATCATTACCTAAATGGTATCATGTTTTGATTTGATTTTATTGATCAATAACAATCATACAATAATTGAGATCGATGGTGCAACATTACTAACACTAACAGAACGTGATCTACGTGAGAAACCAGTTGAAATGCAATGCCTTGGTGATATTAAACATTTATCAAACGCTATTTCTTCACTTCGAAATGAATCTTTTATCCACTGCTCTAATTCAAAGGTCAGTTTAATTTCACATCGCTCTCTGGAGGGAGTTGTTCGAGATTTAATTGGGCCCTTCGATATGGATGGCATTTTCCTCAGAGGGAATTGGGTGCCTTAGAAGGGATAGGAGCACACTGGAAGGAAAAAGGATGCTCGAGAGAGGTAAAGGCTTCGAGAGTGGAATTTGGGTGCCCTGTGACAGGACTGGATGTGACGGTGTAGGAGGGAAACTTTGAGAGATTGGGCAGCATGAGAGAAAAAACTGGCAATCAGGAGTGAATGAGGGCTTCAACTCCACTTTGCCTTTGTGTCCAGAATTCTATCAAATTTACAAAATATAATCCCAATAATACTCTAAAATAATTCAGTCAAATTTATCGACATGCTCATCGTCGTGTCATCTAAACAGTCATGTTCATTTACCATATGCAAACGATATCAACGAAAATAGTAATGCTTCAACGCTTTGTGCTGATCATCAAGATGGTTTTGTACCGATTATGAATGTCAATCATGGAATGTACACAGAACCAACGTTTGTATCTTTGTTTTCAAAAGGATTTTATTAAACTCAGAAATATTTACGAATCATATCTTTCGACAATTAATATTAGCTAAAAATATCTGTTATTATGGAGTAACATCAATCGAATTAAGTGAAACTTCGGGTATGAACCTCTCATCGAGAGAGAACGCTAGTGGTGAAACAAGACTGATCCAGGTGTTGACCAGGGAGCATTTGATACGTCAGGTTCATTATTATCACTACTTTAATATTATTTATTATTGTTAATATAACACTTCATGGTTATAATAATATTATTGTCAGTATTGTTAGCATCACTATTACTTTATATCAATGACAGGTTGAAAGTGCGGATACGAAGAATAAATCATTAATAAAGTTGGCGATTGCATTTTGTTATTGCACATTCTCGTTGCTTACGTCTGCATTTGTTATGGTTCTTGTGCACGATCGAGTTCCAGGCTTGTTATTATTATTTTTGCTTATTATATTCGTTGAACAAGTATTGTAGAATGATCGTTATTGCTACCATTATTATTGCAGATATGAAGACATATCCACCTTTGCCGGATATAGTGCTCGACAATTTACCGTTGATACCGTGGGCATTCGAAGTTTGTGAATTAATTGGAGTTGTATTGTCGAGTATTTGGTTTATTATTCTGTTCTTCCATAAACACAGGTAAGTTATATCTATTGATTGTTTTGTGGTTAATGGTAATGATGACTTAGAATAGTGGTAATGCGACGAATGTTTTCATTGGTTGGGACGGTGTTTTTATTGCGGTGTGTCACAATGTTGATCACGTCTCTGTCTGTACCTGGTGTTCATCTGGAATGCTCTGCAAAGGTTTGTTTATTTAATCAGCAAATCCAACTCATTATGAGTTTATGCCTCTCCGTTATTACCAATATCACTGATATCACAACATCACCTATACTACATTCTTCCTTCTTTAGCATTCTTCTTTACCCGCAACTAACGATTGTAGCGTTGGGAATCATCTGTCTTCATGAAATTGTTGTAATAATACCAGCAATAAACAAACCTTTGGAAAAAGGTTTGTTTAT